CTTAACCNCAGACAAGATGTGACATTTGTCTATTGTCAAGATATAAACATTTATAAGCCTTAAGCCACACCAATTTAATTTCTTGGTTAACGGATTCACCCGCTAAATTTTTTTCTGATTTGAAAATAAGAATTCAGAATAAACTGCAAAATGCTCTTATTTTGCCCTGAACAGTTGAAAACAGTCCTTTTCTTCTTAGTTGTTACAGTTATTCCATCTTTCAATGCAGTGGTATCATTAAAAGTTCAAAATTCATTGTTTAAGTTTTGAACTGGCCTGGTGTGTTGACTTCATGGCTCGTATTGTACTATTTTTCTAGAAAAATCCGTTAACCAAGAAATTAAATTGGTGTGGCCTTATCAAATGCTTGCCTTGAATCACATCTCTCTTCCACAAAAATGCATGGTAGAAGTGACAGTGTGCCATTCTTTTTATGGATCTCATTTATCAACTTTTTCAAGCAATTTGGAGGTCTTTTGTTTTAACAAGAGTCTCACTTCAATCTCCTTTCACTGTGATTTCTTTTAAGCTTTTGAAAATGTCAAGTGTACCTGGGAATAGATTGTTCTACCAAAATTGAAAAGTGTGAAGTTGAAATATTAATTCACCCAGAGCCTACCATATTTACAATTGTGTGGTGACTTTGGTAACACGTATGCAGATACACTCCTGAAAAAGTCATCTAGAAACTCTATTAATGTGAGAAGTTTAACTGAAAAAAACAACATATGCAACAACAACCATTTTTTTAAAATCAACAGTACACAGATGATATGTACAGTATTTACAGGTTCATTGTACAAGGGAACTTCCCCTAGCTCTGCTCAACAAGTACAATGAAAAGTGGACCAAGGCATAACGTCCCATCCTAAGCTAAGGACTGCGACCCTTTCCAGTAGTGTGCATGTTGGGTGAGCGACAACAGCCGGGATTCGAACCCCTGAACTGTAGATCCAGAGGCAGGGTCACATAAGACTAGGCACGCTACTTAATGTTTCCTAGTAGGTCACTGGATGCCTGGTTAAACTTACAAAACCTTCTCTGACAACAGGCGGTACCCAGGGTGCAACTCTGTCTGGCGGGTGTTCCGAATCCAAGATGGCGGCCGCCAGTGGACAGGATGGAGTTACATGCAGGTTTGGGGGAGTTTCATCCTTGGGAGACGTGCTCCATCTTCTTAAGGTGGTGAGTGGTTTTCGAATTATTTTTGATAAGATTTAGTTTGAATACAAGGCTTGAAGTCCTTTTTCTTCTTTCTTGCAATGTGAATAAGATAAAAATCTATGTGTGTAGGATTGTTTGATGTTGCTTCAGTACAGCATCATTTCAGCAGCAGAACACTTTTTTCACAGTAGTCATCTTATTGAGCCATTGTGCAGTGTATACTGATGCGTCATTTCATGTTACTTGACGTACAGGTGTAGTCAAGGTCTATGGAACAGTTCTTTTTTACTGAACAGTGCTTACATGTATGTACAGTGCTTCAGTTGTTGTCAGCATTGGTAGGAGGTCCAATGAACTTGAAAGAGAAAGATTGCTGTAATTTCAGTGACTCTAGAACACAAGATTTTTAAAAACCCTTCGATCATTGTATGTCAACTTCACCTAATGTACATTTTTGTAGGCAGCTTAAAGTTTGCTAAATTCTTAACATGCAGTGGTTGATTTCATACAACAGATTTTAAACCAGCTAGTCACTCTAGTAATTCATACAACAAGAGGCAAGCCTGTACTCTTTCTGACATAGACATTTTCAGAAGTGAAATGTAGTCAGACTCAAGTTTTACTCCTAATCCTCTGCTTTTTTATTTTTTTTTATGACGATTTACCACATTTGTGGAAGGATTGACATAACAGGTGACTATCACCTCTTCAAAGATGTCAACCCCGAGACCAGACTGTAAGGCTTGAACCACTCACACCGGGAAGGTCCCCTACTCTTGTCGATAAGTGCGGTGGGTTCTTTAACGTGCGTGGGGTGTGGCTCTCCCAAACACGGGACCTCCATTTAACGTCCTATCCGAGGGACGTCCCTAGCCGAAGTTTAAGTTACTCATTTACACCTGTCAGTGAGTGAAGTGAGGAAAGTCGTGTAAAGTGCCTTTCCCAAGGGCACAAGATCGGTGACATGGGCAGGGTTCGAACCCACGATCTCTCGGGTGTGAGCCGAACGCGCTACCAACTGCGCCACACGACCCCACGACATGCTTTTTACGTGCACCTCATCTTTTTGCTGAATTTGTACTTGAAAATGTCTGAGAATCCCGGAAATGTGTTGGTGTGGCTCTAATATTTGGGAAAGATGGTTACAAAGCCATACTGATCTGACACCACAAGCTGCCCCTCCCCACCTGTAGCAACTTGCGTGGGTAGTTTAATGTAAGCTACGGTGCGGATGTGCTCTCCCTCAGCTGTGAACATCTCCACCCGGCTGTTCCAAGTATCAGCCACAATCACACGCCCCAAACTGTCCACACAGATTCCCGAGGGCTGAGAAAGATTCCCTGCTCCACTACCTTTGCTGCCAAAACTGGACAGCAAGACTCCGTTCTTGTCATACTTTAGAATACAAGAGTTTGACACGTCTATGACATAGATGATCCCATTCATGTCTACCAAAGGGATCATTACTGTAACAGATCGTAGATATGCTGGTATATACCCTGGAACTGGCAGCCTGGTCATGTTACCGGTACATGTTGGTGTCCGTGTATAAGTAGGACTAAACCACACAATTTTGGGCCCTTTTCCTGTCAGTATGATTCTGTCAGAAAGCTTGTGCCAGGCAATCCCATAGATTGCTGTAGTTTCGCTGCATGGGAACTTGGCCAGTTCATGGCCCTCTTTGCTGTACTGTTGGATGGCATTTTCGTACATGTAAGTGGAAGGTATGCTGATGAGACTGTACAAAAGGACCCACAGGGTGTCGTTGTGGCCCATGCACACGGCACGTGGTTTCATGTTTCCTGTGGAGAAACTGCGAAGGAAAACCCCCTTCATGCTGAAGACCTGGATTGTGTAGTCGGGCTCGTCAGCCACAAATATCTCGTTAGTCGAGGACACGGCAAGCCCACTCACATGGTCAAACTGGCCGGGGCCTTCTCCTCTCCCACCAAAGGTGATATTCTTTTTCACTTCTGCTGGTAAAACAGAGTATAACACTTAGTGTAGTGGACAGCACTTTCTAGATTCTAATACGCTGGTATATACATGTAGATAGGTAGATTGATTTTGATAAATAGATATTAGATAGATAGAAAGATAGAATATAAGATATATAGAGAGAGATATAGATAGATATACATGTAGATAAATAGATACTATTGCATGTCATTGACTATTGCATGTCATTGACCTGGCATGACCCCGATTACGAGTAATGGATCACGTTTATGATATTGTTTTTGGTGTATATATTGTATTTCCGTGTATATATATGTCGTACCCAGGACCACTCTGTAAAGCAGTGCTATGTCACTGAGTAGTGCTACCCTGGTTAAAGAATACAGAAATAAATAAATAAACTATTTTCACAATTTAGCACTTCAAAATAACAAAAAAGTTGTAGACAGTATCGTTTTGAGATGAAGATCATACTAATCTCATACTATAAGAAACATTCAATTAATTAATTTATTCAATTAATTTACCACTGAAAAGACATGATCATGCTTAAGGCACAAAGTGGTACCAGAGAAGAAGAGAAGTGAATATTAGGAAAAGTTGTATCGTTGTGACATGCGTGCTACCAGAAGAAGAGAAATAGATATTTGTAGAACTGTTGTGTGTGAAGTTCGCTAGGACACTTGTGAGGTCAGAGTACAGAGACTGGCTACCTCCACAGAGATCACAAATAACTGGCCGTAGTACTAGAAACAGTGAGATGCTAGACTGTCCGAGAGCAAGAACGAATAGATACAAGAACTCACCGATACCGTTTATGGTCCAGCTCCTCAATAACTATAATAGACTGAACCCCTGACTGTTGTCTTTTTAAATGTAGTACAGTGTTCTGTATCAAATGTTGTCCAGAAAATTTATAATGTACGAAACATGTATTTTTATTCCAAACCTGTAGTTTTAATATACTAATGCTCTGTAAATTGGTTTAAAATTCAGTTGTTTTTAACTGCGAAGAACCAATAAATCCATCTTGAATCTTGAATCTTGTACCCACCTGCACAGTGGTACGTTACTTCCAGGTACTTCTTTATGCCCGGACATGGCCTGTGTAGTCTGAAGTAGGGATGGAAACGATCGTCTACTTTCTGGTTACACTGCTGCAACCCCTGACATTGTGCCCTTATCCTGGACTGTTGCCTGTTACAAAATACGAGAAGTATGTTAAAACCATCAGTTGTTTTTATCAAATTGACACATATGAATAGCTTAAGGGTTATGTAGAAATCAGACAGCTGTGAATTTTAGAAATGTCAACACATTTTTCTGCAATATCTATACAAGACATCTCAACTACAACAGTTACAGTACAACTTATTTACACGTTAAATAGCAAGAGAAAAAATTACAGGACGAACATTTGATGTAAGGTACAAAGTCATGTAAGAGTTTGGCTACAATCGGACATATCTTTTAGAGGGCTGCTAGCTCGTTAGCTATAGGGGTGGGATTAGATCTGCTGTCCACCAGCTAGAGTGACTTCATACAGGAACAGCTTACAGTACTATGGACCTTATCTCTGGAACTCACTCCCCCTACAACAACGACAGCAGCTCAATCTCAGAACTTTTAAACAGTTTTTATCGAATTGTATTTAAGATTTTAGTTTTATCTATGTGCTATTTTTAGACTTTTGTATGTATTGTGAATCTGTTCAACTGTTAGGTGTTTGTCTGTGCTTTTGTACCAGGATTTCCTGAAAAACAGGCCAGAGTGGCCTGAGTGTGATACCTGGTTGAACAAATAAAGTTGAAGTTGAAAGTTGAAGATCAGTTATGGTGCTCCTACCTCCTAAAGACATGTTGACACGTGTCACAATACTTGAGTGTACATTCACTGCGAGGACCGTTTTCCGGCCTCCAACCGGAGAAGGCTTCGTCGATCACGATCAGCTCATTCGCTGCACAAGACAGTCGCATGGTCTCCCATTCACAGGATGTTTCTGCATCAATGGAAAGTTTATTGCAAATTCATGCCCGAAGGCTAATTGCATGAAAAGAAGAAACATTTGTATAAAAAACAGATAATTAGTACACATAGAACTACTGATAACTATTAAGAAACTACAAGTAGAAAACTACTGGGTTTGACTTCTTTTTTGAAGACAGAGGATTAGACAAAGGATCCCACTTTTTCTATAATTTGTGGGTTTTCGGATGTTAAGAGGAGAGTAGTTTTCTTTTCATTTGTATATGCGTGAAAGTTAGTGTAGAATTTGGACACGAAGTCAAAGAGTTCATTTCATTCATTGCTATAGAGGGTACAATTTGAGATAAAATGCGTTTCGTCTTCCACCGTATTCAACGTACAATGTTTGCAAATTTGTTCATACACTTGGAGCTTCTTGATCAATGATAGCATCTTACCTTAGAGGCCACATCAATGTAATTTATTGGCTCTCAGATTTATTCAGAAGAGTGTAAAGCAACAAGGTGGAGAAAATTTTATGACAACCAAACTAATCCTAGTATTGTACAGTTACTGTAGATGTACCAGTTTGTTAGCATTTGACAATTAAAAATGTGCAAAACATTAGATAAATTCACTTTTGAAAGTATATAAACTGTAATTGGTATTTTTGTACATCTTTCACCTGTTACTTACTCAAATTTCATACCACTATATATATATATATATATGTGTGTATAGGCTATATTTCTTATAATACATGATTATACTTAGTCTTACTTTTGTAGGTGGTTAGGTTGGTACCATTTATAACTT